TGTCTAAGGACAGATTTAAACTCAGGAAGATGAGTCTTCTAGACTTTAGTCCTGGCACTCTATTCATTGTACCACTTAGCTGCCCTTAATGTATTTGTTATTGTTGTCCAATAATGTCTGACTCTTTGTGACCCCATGGACCATATTGTCCATGGGTTTTTCTTGGCAAAGATACTGGAGTAGTTTGCTATTTCCTTTTCCAGTGGATTAAGGCAAACAGAGGTTAAGTGACTTGCCCAGGGTCACACAGCTAATAAGTTTCTGAGGCCAGGATTTGAACTCAGGTCTTCCTGACTCCAGGCCCAGCCCTCTATCCACTGAATCACTAGTTGGCTAAAAACTGCTAATGACTCTCCAAAATTTATAGTCCATCTCTCACCTCCATGGATTTGTACAAGCCACTCCCTAACAATCAAACAAAAATCATTTATTGAGCATTTACTATATGCCAGACACTGTGTTGTGTTGGGGATACCAAAAACAAAACAAAAAGAAACCAACAACAACAAAAAAACATTCTCTGCCCTCAGTGAGTTTATATTCTATTAATATTCCACATGCTTCATCTCAGAATCCTTGACTTCCTGCAAAGCTCAACTCAAAGTGTTATTTCCTCTAGAAAGCTTTCTCTCAACCTTCCTCTACCTGGCCAGTAGTCAGCATTCTCTTTCTCTTCAATTTTCTTTGTATTAGTTTTATTATGTACCTGAATTTGTTATGTCCACTAGAATGTAAGGTCCTTCAGGATAGAAATGCTTTTGGTTTTGTCTTCGTATCCCCAATATTTAGCATCCTGGCTTGTACATAGTAGGCCCTTCATCAATGTTTGTTTTCTTGAGTTAAATTATTTACGGTGGCTCTTTAACCCCAAGCTGGCTCCCACTCATCACTTAGTATGATCCCTGTAACCTCCCTGTGATCTGGGTGATCTCATCCAGTGCCTGTTCATGAATGCCAACTAATTTTAATTTCAGTTTATGAATAATATAATTAGTAAAGGGAATCTGCTGCCAAAATAAATTATAGCTGTCATCCATAGCCAATTAAAAAAATTTTTTTTAATTATCTACTGCTTTCTACTTAGGTCTATTAGCATAAATACGTCAGGTTGACTGAAGGAGTCTCACTTACCAGTTACGTCACTTCACTTTTCTGACATTTCCCCTCTATTTCCTATTTCCCATAATTCGTCATTAGTACTGAATCTCTTCTACAGGGACCAAATATGCCATGTTATCCATGGGATACTTGGAGACCTAGTGATTATAAGCCTTGTCCTTCAGCCCTGTTTCTATGATAAATTATCCAGGGCTAACTACAGATAGTTGGACCAGTATAAAAAGTATCCCTAACTGGGTTGGGATGGCTATGGCACCCTAGTGCTTTTGTGTTCCTGCTCAGCTCTAAAAGGTTTTAAGTCTTACTTAGAAGTAATAGTATGAGTCATTTGAAGGAAAGGAGCAGCCTCAGTTTGCAAGCAAAACAGAAAATTGTAGCTAACCTGAAACTAGAGTTTATCAGTTCCTGGAAAACTGTTTGAAGTCCTGACTAACACAGCACAAGAAAGGCATCACAGAACTGAAGAGGGTCTAACTTTCACACAAAAACTAAGCCCCTGTAAACACAACTACACCATTGGGGAGGAGGGTGCTTCTTTAGGGGTGCAGATTAGAAAGTTTAGCGGCAGAGAGGGGTCATACAGAAAGGACTCAACTAATAGTCAGACTTCCAGCTTCCTAATTTATTTTTTTAAAAACCTTCTTGGAATAAATTATGAATTTCAAGCAGTAGTAATTCTTTGGGTAATAAGTTCAATTTTCTACTCGCATTATAATTCCATTGAAGAATTCATTGACCATTCATTAAGAATCTATCATAGCAAGACATTGTGCCAGGTACTGGCTAGACAGAGATGAACAATGTGATCCCTGCCCTCAAACACTTCACAATCTAATCGGTAAAATATACCATGTGCACAAATAGATGTAATGCAAGGCAGAATGTAATTGAGGGCAAAAAAAGCAAGAAAAAATTGCTGTTTGGAAAAATTGTGGAGGAAGACCAAGTAAAGCTTCATGAAATTGATATCACCAGAGCGAAGTCTTTAATTAAGAAAAGGATTTAGAAAGTTTAGATAAAGGAGTATATTCCAGGTGAGGGAGTACCATTGAGACTGGTCTGTGTAGGCCGATGCTGGGTCTCCTTCTAACTTCCTATGTGACCTTGAACAATTTCCTTAACATCCTTAGACTTTGGTTCCCTCATTAGTAATATGAAGTGATTGAATAGATGATTTCTAAGGTCTCTTCTAGCTCTTAAAAAAAATCTATGAGGCTTCACATTCTACAATTCTTTGGTTTGGAAAGATGAAGAGAAAGTGATTGTGACTGAAACCTAAGAAAAGGAATAGGGTGAACATGGACTTGTTCCCATTTTAGAATTGGGGCACAGCCCTTTGAGTCTGAAAAAAAGTAAACTTAGGACAATTAAAAGTATGATTGTACATAACATCTCTCCCGTCTGTCCCTTTCTCTTTGCTCAGTTTCTAACCCCCTTAGTTAAGGCACCTATCATGTCTCATCTAGAATATTCTAAGTCTCCTCATTGCTCTTCCTGCCAAGTGTATGGCTTTTCCTTTTACACAGCTGCAAAACAGCAATCTTCCTAAGGTCAAGGTCTGACCTGTCTCCTCTACTCCAAAAAATTTGTGGCTGTCTTTTTTACTTATAAAATACAAACTCGACAAACCAGCCCTTCACAGCTCACCATTTGCTGGTTCCAGCCTACTTTTGCAACTTTTTCCCCCGATTGTACTACTAATGGATAAATGTATATCTGTGTATACATGTCATCTTCCTCACTCAAATGCAAACTCCTTGAGGTCAGGTACTGTTTCATACTCA